ATTTTATACTTTTCTAAAATCAATAATTTTATTTTTATAAGTCAAAAACTTATAAATAAAATATCAAAAGACTCATAAAAATTCAAATAATAATTCTAGAAAAATTTCTATCATAAAACAAACATAATTAAATTAATATGATAAAAAATAGATCCATATGATTTACGAATTGAATTAACAATCATGGGACACTTCATCTTCAACTGTGGACTACGGACCATACTTGCTTTATCAGACCGACTTAGTATTTTTCATGACCCACAATCCATGTAGGGGCTCATTGGCGGGTCGCCAAAGTCTGGCCGATGAGTCAAAGGGTTGCAATCCCAGTCTGTAGACTTTAGGCCCTCCTCTAGAGACGAGTTAAGGTCACTAAGACCTTATGCTACCACAGCTCTATGACGCATAGGAGTATCTTACGCTTCACCCTAAAAGGTGGATATCTGGCTTTCTCAAAGGATCTATCGATATGCATTACGTGTGATATAATCTTGGATGAGGTTTTGGCCCCCGTCTTAGTAGGCCCACCATCACACACAAAGGTCACACAATCCCTCGGCTCATTCATCTAGGCATAAACTCCGACCTCATCAAGGGATAACCCATAACCCTTCTCGGTTTGTTCTCTATGTCCAGATACCTTGGATTTTTCAACCGATTGGCTTAGATCTTCAAACACAATTCGGAATCAGCAAACCTTGTTTGCTTAGTATGGTCTACGAGGGACCATACTCCCATTGAATTCATGTTCCACTATATTATTTCATTTTACAAGCACTCCTTTAAAGGCCACATAAACCTAACATAAAATGAATGCTCTAGGTAATTTGCTACAATATCCAGTTTTTTTAGAGCTTGAAATACTAATTTTCTTTTACAACCACGAAATGATCGATGTAAAGGTTTTCCAATTCTTGACATGCAATTTTCGATGAGTTATGAAGTGAGGATTTACTAATTTTTATAAGGCTGTAGTCTTATCAAACCATTTTCCCTATATAAATTGTCATAGGCTTGTGTATTGTTGTCTTATATGTCTTAGCTCTTAGATGTAGAATTGAATCTAAGCCAGCCAAAATATATAGTTATAGGGATTGATGGGACCTAATTTTCTTCTAGATCATCTTTCAATCATCTCGATGCCAATTTCAAAATTTCAAAAAGGGAAAGAGGTTGTCAGCTCAAAATTTCAATGTATATTCAGCCATGGGATGGAGTGCTTTTTTAAGCTACACATAAATAAGAGATGGAAAAGGGCCAAAAGGGCAGCATCGCAGCCCAGCCCTCAAAAAATAGGGCCATAAAATGTGGCCCAAGGGCTGGGGCAGGTCTCAGGTGGGCCTGGGCAAGGGTCACGACAGAGAAGACCCGATATTGTTCTTTGTTCCTTTTAATTTTTCTTTGGTTTTTTACTTTTTTTTTAATAGGCCCAGCCTAGACTATGCCAGGTCCTGGGTTGTCGCCCTTTAGTTTGGCCCGATCCTATAGGGACCTAGGGGGGCCAGCCCATTGCCGGTCCTATGCATAATGTTTCACTCATTTAAATTGACCTTAAGAGTGTAATAAATATGGTTCGAAGATTTTGGGATCCATGAAACACACTTAAATAGGTGTGACGGGGATTGAAAAGATTCAAAACAAACAGTTGCACCCACGGGCCCAAACACTTTTCCAATCATTATATATTATTACCAAATTTACGCATGTAGGATAGTTTTAAGATGACCGAATCATGCCCAATCTACGGGCAACTCACGTTAGTGTTTAGTATTCACTTAAATGCTCGCTTTGCTGAGTCAGTTTTGAGCATTGGAAACCGAGTCAGAGAGAGTCTTGGAAAGATGCGCAACCCCAATCTCCAGACTCAAAACCCTTTACTCAGAAGGGGACTCATTTAGTTCACAATATACCTTTTTTTAATAAGGAAAATAGCTTGATTTGGCTGCAGCCCTATCAAAATAAAGAAAGCCCGTTTAAATATACGGGATCTTGTATATTTTTTATTAATCATTAATAAAGAGAGAGTTATATGCCGTATTTTGAGTTTTTAAAAAAACCTTGTCTCATAACTCATTAGAAATTAAAATTCAACCCCCATCTCGGCTTGAATGGTTGTAATTTTTTTTTTAAGATTTCAAGCTCTAATAATAATGTATATTATAACAAATTATTTAGTCCGTCTATTTCATCCTAAAAATAAATATTCACATATCCACAAGATCTATATTATTTTTTAGTTTCAAATTGTATTGTCGGTGATGGAAATTGATTTTGGAGTCATCATGGAAATTTCTATTGCCGAAAGTGCTTTCCGGATGCAGATATGAGGTGAGGTTTTATTTTGTTTTCATAAAATTTACGCCTTATATAAACTTCATCCTTTAAGTAATCATCCCAATAATTGAAAATGCTGGCATTAAGAAAAATAATGTGGTTAGTTCTCACTTAACTTGCTGACCAACGAGGTTTTGGGTGGATTTATGAAATGAGTTCTATTTATACAAGTATTTACTTTTTCTCTTTATTTTGATAAAATTCATATAATTTTATTCAAGAGCTAAACATAAATTACGTCATTAGAAACTAAAATCTCAAAAAGAGAAGTGTCGTTTTTAGCTAGACTATCAGCCAAAACATTAGCCTCTCGAAAAATGTGGATTAAGGAAAAAGAAAAAGACCAGGATAAGTTCAAAATATGGAGGAAAATAGAACGTAATTCTCAAGGTACCTTCATCTCCCCATTGCACTAATTGATAACATTGAGGAAATCTCCTTCAATAATGCAAGGCGAACCTAAAAACTGGTTGCTAAGTAATTTCAGGCCATGAAGAAGAGTCAGAAATTCAGCTTGATTTGCAGTTTTCTCACCCAAATGACCTGAATAAAAAAAAAGAATATGTCCTTCCCAATCCCTCGAAACTTATCCAAAACCTGCTGGACCTGGATTACCAAGCGAGCTCCCATCAAAATTAAGTTTCAAAACACCTCTTAATGGAGCAGTCCATCTCCCTTTGGCCCTGTATTTCCTATAACCTAGCTGAAAAATATTGTATAGATTTCTCCTAACATCAACTTCCATAATATCTCTCCCCACCTTTGTGATAGACAAAAACATCAAAATAGAATGGAGTATACGATCTAAAATTCTATCTACTGATAAACAATTACCGTCAAACACTCTTCTATTTCTCTCATTTTACACCTCCCATAAAATTACACCTCTTGCTATTTGTCAAATCACCACACCAGTTTGAGGTAAAAAAGAAACAGATAATGCTCAAATAATTCCTATAACATATGGAGGTATGATTAACACCACTTTAACCTGAGCAAAAAACCAACTCCATATACTACTAGTAAAAAGGCAATGTAGAAAAAGATGAGCACCTGATTCAGCATTTCATTTACCTAATAAACATATATTAGGCAGAAATTTCCCTGTTTTAATAAGATTATCTGTAGTCAATACCTTGTTTTGAACCGCCAACCACAAAAAAACTTGAATCTTAAGAGGAAGCGACCACTTCCAAATGGCAGCAATTTCAGGCATTGACCATCTCCATCGATCATGAAATAATAGATGGTACATAGATTTGACCGAATAGACACCATCTTTTGCAATATCCAGACCACCTCATCTTACACATTAAGGGGTAAATACACCTCAATTAGCGACGATAACAAACCATTAAACTCCAAGAAAAGCCTATCGGGTATTCTATTATAAGGTAAAACGATCTTCCACTCAATCTGATCCCCCCTCCTCTCAAAGAGATTCGAAATCAATGCATTGGGATTACCCACCCTGTTGAAAATCAAAGGGAGCACATATTTTAAAAAAGAGTTATCTAACCACTTATGATGCCAAAATGAGATAATACTTCCATCACCAATTGTCCATCTGATATCTCTATGGATAACAGTCTTACACGAATAAATAGATCTCCAATAATGTGACATCCTTCTGCTATCAAGCCTGCCTCCAACCCACATATTAAATCTATCATCACCATACTTCGAGCTTATCACTTTATACCAAAGCTGATCTTTAAAGTTTAAACTCCTCCACCACCATTTACAAAGTAAAACCTGATTAACCAACTTGATTTACATGTGATTTCACGCACATATAAAGTACAAACATTTTCTTTCAGCATCGAATTTGAGGAGACATCAAAGATGACATAAGTCACAATGTCACTAGTTGATACACGAGTGTCTGATCTTAATCCAATGGGTCGGAGTATTTTATTTTTAATCTTTATCCTATAAATCATTTTGTAGCGAAATTTGGGGCATGCATACATTTCTCTGGACATACATGATAAAAATCATCATAATACTACTAAAACTTTTTCAGGCATTTTGATCATTTATTTCCAGGAGAGTTTTTTTTTTTTTGCTAGGTGCGTCCTTATTAAGAAGTCCCCAAGTTTCACGCAAAAAGGTTTTATAGAAAGTTTTCCTTTATTATTATTTTTAACTAACAATTTTATCAAATGGGTTCTACAGTAATTTTGTATGCGTTGTTTACCCTAAAAAAACAAAGTAATACATACTTGCAAACCCGACTAGAAGACGCAATTTTGATTTCAAAATCCTTGGCAATAACCTGAAAAACTATATTACCAACCCCAATTATAAAATTAATTTAAAGCTCCAAAAATTATACAAGTGGAGCGTATCTATAGATATTTAAAAATCTTAATAATAGGCATTCCAAATAATACTTCATCAAATGTGTTATGTTTAGGATTTGAAATTTTATTTTTTATATTTATGCATAAGATGATCAATTGAAAAATTTTCACTTATTTGAAGTGTCCGTGTACATATTTTTATAAAGGAAAACATACAATGAAACTATTTATATCGGATACAAAATGATCACAATTAAGCTCAAAATTTAAAAGAATCTTTTTCAAATTTTGTTATACACCCTAACTATCAGATTTCACATAGGGACGGTTATAAATAATTGTCACCTCCTACAGTTTCCGAAATTTATTTAGAATTTCTGAAAAACTCCGCAACTTTCTTGGCGCTGTGTACGCGCAGTAGATAACGATGAGCATGGCCCAATTCTCTCTTGCTCATCCCTGCCCTCTCTAAAATTCATGGCTTCTATTTCTCTTTCTAACGAATTTCATCGTTTTCTGTTTGTTTCTCACTCATGTAACATCATGAGATTCGAAGAGAGAGAAATTATGTGACGACCACAGAGAGCTTCAGAGAGAGATTATGTGATCACCAGCTTAGAGAGAGAGAGAGAGAGGGGATTATGTGACCACCACCTTAGATATTCAATTAGTTTTTGGCCCAAGGGTGATATTATGTGACGCCCACTGTAGATGTCCATCATCATGTCCCTTCTGCAACTTTCTCACTCTAAGCTTTGCAATGGTGCTTTTACTCGCTGCCATTCTCCATCATTTACACCTACAGTCAAGCAGAGGAAGTTTGACGGATTTTCTTGCTTTTGGGGAGAGAGAATTGCGTTGGTTAAGGGGGTTTCAAGCAAGTGGGGATTGGGTTTTAGAGAGAGAAAGAGTCATGCTATCTGTAAAGCCGAAAGAAGTAAGAGAGGGTTGAATGGTGTTATGAATCTCAGTGAGTATATGGTCACCTTGGAGAAGCCATTGGGCATAATGTTTGCGCAATCAGTTGATGGTAGGATCTTTGTTCATGCTCTAAAGAAAGGGGTAAGCCTTTTTCCTACTACCCATTTATCCTTTGCGCTCTGATCCTTTTTTGTTCTTGCGTTCTTGTTTCTTGTTTTCTTCTTTTTACATATCCTATATGACCCAATTTTGTATATGTTTTTGTCAATTGTTTCAATTCTCAACTATGATCACTAATCCGTGTAATCTTTGAATACTGAACTCTGAAGTCTGAACACACCAGTGTTATGTATGGGCATATTTGTGTATAAACTCTGAGTCTACTTCAATTGGTAGTGAAAAATGTTATTTCTTTTTCATTGGTGATGAAAAAAGTTAACATGGACGCCCTGAGAGGCTATATTCTTATCGATGTATTTGTAGTTTTGTACATTTTGTTTAGTAGTTTTGTACATTTTGTTTACTGTGAAGTGGATTTTGTTGGTTCACCACTAATGTTTGATTTGCAGGGAAATGCAGAGAAGTCGCGAATGATCATGGTAGGGGATACTTTAAAGAAGGCAAACACATTATCAGGGGATAGAATTATTTTGGTTGAGGATGTCGGTGATGCCCTGTATGGACTGCAACTCTATCGCCATGTAAACTAACATTCGTCTATTTAGGTCTAAATTGTATGATGCTTGTTTGTTATACCAAAATCATGATGTAAGTCCTATTGTATCAAACTCATTGTACACTCAATGCAAGAGAAAAGTTCACTTGTAAAGACGTTTGCAATAACGTGGTGAAAATGCTATGAAATACATCATCCTTCCTAGACTCGACTTAATCCTTTTCTTGCAACTCCTTGTTTTGTTTCACAGTTAGCACTACTTAATATATGTGCGATTCAGTTATCAGAAATAACATGGCTTTCAAAGGCTTGAACGAGGCCCAGCACTGATATGAAAGTGCCCTATCTATAAGATCTTGGGAATGCTATGTTTACCTGTTTTCACTCTTCAGCTGATTTTGATATTTTTCAGTCTTGCAATACTGTGTCCCCTCAAACATACCCCACATCAACTCCTTAGAAAGGTTGCTATGCTCTGAAACATGCTTGCTCATTGATCAGGATCTGGCTTGGCACTTTCATATTCATGTGTCATGTTTCTAGTCGCATGCATCACTCCACACTCATTTCACTTTCTCGCAAACAAGTTCAGTTCATTGCAGATCATTGTTTTGTTTTCTTTTTTTGCTTGCATACTTGCTTGTGTGCATGTGTCAACATTTTTTAATCACATGTCTTTGTTGCTGCTTTGTTCCATTAACCATATATATAATTCCATTCAGCTGAGATGGATCACATATATTGTTAGAGTAGATTAAGTCTTTCAGATTATAGTGTGCTTAATTTCTCAGTTACACACTTAGTTTTATCATCTTGGATTTTTCTTCAGGAAATTGCTGAAGGACAGGGAAGGAACTGTCAGTTTGATTCTAGAAAGACCATTCCCTCCCTTTCCAATTAATCAATATCCTCTTATGGGTGACCCTGAGTTATTATTCAACAGAGGGAGAGTTCCTATTGTTACTTGGAATAGAAACCTACTCACCTCAAATCTTCAGCCATCATCCAAGGAGAATGGAAATGTTGGGTTTGTGTGTTATTCACCGAAATTCCTGAAACCTCTTGGGTGGAAACTTCTCTCGAGTTTGGAAACTGAGTCGCTTGATACTCAAGGTGGGAATGGTAATGTCAATTCAAAAATTCATTTGAAAACCCCAAAACAAATTATCAGGATACTGTCAGAGGTAGAGTCTGGAGAAGTTGAGTGGAGTTATGGGAACTTCCCAGTAGATGAATATATAAAAGCACTGGATCGATCTGAAGGAGAGCTGTATTATAATCACTTTCTTGGCATGCAGTATAGCAAGGTGAGTCCATTGTCACTGTGCTTTATGCATGCACTTATTTTCACAGACTGCCGTAAAAGTTTGCTTTACCACATTAATTCATTGGACCAAAGATGGGGTTTTTGTGTTAATGCAACTTTCTAATTTGCTATGATCTAAGAAATTGTGTGGGTCATTTTGAGAAATTCAAAATATTACATCTTCTGAACTTGGGGCCTTCTAATTGATTTCAAAACCTATTCCTTGTTCCTCTCTCATTCTTTATAACATTAGTTTGCTTCTCCTACAGATCATTGAATTGAAAGATCATTATCACAAGCTACATTGCACAATCTTTAGCATGAGCTGCCACAATTTGATATCTAGTTTCTACTCACAATATGAAGTTCTCCCTGATCAGTTGCTCGATTTGCAAATTTGGGGGAAATATTCCATGACATTTCATCTTCTTTTCCATAAAATTTCTGTTCAAATTTATTCAATAATTAACCACGAAGTCTTATTGCAGAAAATGGTCAATGGATTATGGTTAGTTGCCTGTCTTTTTCAATTTTTTGTTTAGTTGCTCAAAGTGTACTGAAAGGAAGCTTAACATATAAACTGTACATTTTCCTTTTCTTCTTTTGTTTCTTCCTTCTTTTTGTACTTTTTTTATTCTCTTAATGCACTCTCATTATATTTAGTTGCTCGCTGGTTTTATGTATGCCTTAGATTTTATGCTTTACTGCTGAAAATTGATATTTTGTGAAAATAATTTTCTCTTTAGGTGCCTAGGTATGTCCAACTTGAAAATATTAGGCATGGAGTTCTATGTCATCTGGGAGGATTTGATACTATATGAAAAGTTAGTTAGAAACGTAGAATATCTTCTATACCTTCTATGTCGATCCTGTATTCAATTTAAGAGCATACAGGGACAGTATGACTCTATTTGATATATGATATCTTTCTGTTTTATCTGTTCATTGCCTTCCAATTGGTTGCCAATCTCGGCATTTTTTCGGTGCTTGAGTTTCTTATTGTCATCTTTGAATTGTAGAATTAATCTATATCTGTCATGTAATGTGAAAGAGGGAATCTCATCTGAAACATGGTGAAACCTGCTATGTTCTATTCACCCTACTTTAGCTGATGATCACTAATTGAGAATGTTATAGATCACTCCTAGGTTTCACGTATTAACTCCTTAAGGTTCTTGAATTGTAACATTCAGATACCGATATGTTTGAGAACTATCACGAGGTATTCTTTTGTGAATTACTGAATTTTTTTATTCTGTTGCAGATCACAGATAATATATATGTGGGATCATGCATACAAACAGAATCTGATGTTCAAACATTGTCGAATGTTGTGGTATGTGCTGTTCTTATATGGTTGAGCTCATTCTCATTATTTTTTGTTCGTTATTTTCATTCTCGAAATAGTGTTAACTGCTTTTAACAATTCAAATCTAATGCACGTAGGTGATGACCCCATGATAGAAATGCTTTATCTGTTTTAATGTATGTGTATATTCAACGAGACCATGCTTTTCCTTCAACATCTCGAAACAGTTCCAAGTGGGACCAGATTTTAGACTTTAATAAGCAACCTTTACCAACAATTAGAGGCTGAAAACGTAAATAAATTTGATGTAAATCATGGTAAGTTATTTATCAAGTACCTCACTGCTGAAAAACGAACTTTCAATTATAAGAACGTAAGAAGTACTTCATATTATTCCAATGATTTCTCACTTTCTATTATTCCCAGTAGGGGGAACGTCTTGTACGTCTTCCCTGTTGCTACACCTTTGTCAATTTTCCAACTTCACCGTAAGCTCTGGTTTATGACTTGCAGTCAAGGGATTCAGAGTTTATTTGTTGGGGTACAAAATTTATTTAAAAAAACAATGGTCTAGTGAACCTTTTCTGTGATTGATTGACTCTTTTTGTTTCTTGTATAGCACTTTATATCAACCGTAGTCTGTAATAAGATATGGCATGTTTTTATTTCAGGGAATCAGTGCTGTATTAAATTTCCAAAGTGAAAGTGAACGTGCAAATTGGGGAATTCAGTCAGAAGCAATTAGTGATGCTTGTCATAAATGTAATATTCTTATGGTCAACTGTCCAATAAGGTAAAGATTTGTCCAACAAAAAAATATTTATATGGACACAAACAATCTTAAACAAGATGTTATCCTTTTTCATAGATTAAAATTCAAAGGTAAATTTACCAAATTACCCATGAGAGATTAACGATTTAACACTTTACCCATATCTTTTGATTTATTTCAAACTACTCATAAAAAAAGACATGGTCTTGAGTTGGAATAGTACCATAAGGGTAAATTGTCAGATAGTTAATCTCTCATGGTAATTTTGATAAATTTCCCAGATTAAGTTAGAAATGAATTACCCCTATATGAGGCTTGAAACCCTGTTGTGGTGTTTACAACACCATCAAAGATCTGCTTATCAAAATTATTGAAACTCTCTAACAACCAAGCAGGCAAATCTGCCACCTTCACTGCTCCATCCCATTCCAGGTCATCTATGACCCTAAATGCAGGTTGACGAACCCCAGAATGTTGCCTTGCTAATATTATAGATAAATGTATATCAAGTATGTATTGTGTATAAGTCCAGAGTGTATCTGTCATCTCTTATGTCATCTCTTTTTAATGCTTTGGGGTACATGTAATATCAGTTGGAAGCTTGCCAAACTTGTTAGCATGTGCATTTGAATTCACTGCAATCTACACGATACATTACTAGCTCTTCAACTCTTATTGCCATGGTTTTTTGGGATGCTTATATCACAGCCATGCTTTGAGACTTTGCCATTTGGATGGTTTTCCTTTATGATGATTACCATTTTGATGGTTTCTTAGCAAATATATATACAGTTTCTCCTGGATTCATAGCCTGCTTAATGGAGTATACTCTCATGATACTATTACATCCATATATCTCATGAATAGTAGCGATTTCAAGTGAGATCATTCCCCTGCATGATGAATCCATAACCATGAACAGTGGCACGTATGTTTAAGTACATCTCTACTGATAGGATATGGATTCAATCTGATTGTGAGTAACCTTTTGTTTTTGCAGAGATGCTGATTCTATGGATTTAAGGAAGAAACTACCATTTTGTGTGGGACTGTTATATCGATTATTGAGAAAAAATCTTCGAGTTTATGTAACCTGTACAACAGGTCTTGATAGATCTCCAGCTTGTGTGATTGCATACTTTCATTGGATTCAAGATGCTGCTCTCCACGAAGCGTATAATTTTGTCACAAGATCGCACTCATGTAGACCCGACAGGTTCTCTCTTACTCGTTTTTTGGTCACAAGTATCAGTGTTTTGTGTGTCAATAGTGATCTATTACCAATACATCCTAAATTGTGACCAAACTTGGTGCATGTTATTTATGAAAGACAATGTACCAGGTCATGAAATGTCACAAGGCTGCCTATTGGTTTGATATTTTTCATGTACCAGATGGTGAATTAAAGCTGTTGTGGATATTTTTGGGTGCAGACCTGCAATTGTGTGGGCTACTTGGGATTTGATTGCCATGGTAGAAAAAGGAACTCATAATGGCCCCCCTACGCATGCAGTAAAGTTTGTATGGAACGGTGGGTCTCGAGAGGTAATTTGATATCAAATCACGTAATTTTTTTTTATATAGGATATCTTATAATTTGAGAAAGACCATATATGTTTCACATCTTCATAAAATTATTGTAGTGCTGCTCAACAACTAAGTGCTCTATCATTGTGCCTTTGGATACCATAGGGGGAGGAGGTATTTTTAATTGGAGATTTCACAGGGAACTGGAAAGAATCCATCAAAGCAGATCACAGGGGTGGATCGAAGTATGAAGTCGAGCTTCGACTTCCACAGGGAAAGTATGTTTATCTGATTCACTTCATTTCTTTTCGGTTTTCGAGATTCTGACATGGACAAAAAGTTCATATTATTGAGATTCCATGTGTTATGGACATTTGTTCCTAGCATAGTTGTTTTTATGTTTTTATGAGATTCTCCTCATCCAAACTTTTTGATATCCATTTCTTGGTAATGATTCTTCTGTGTTTACAAGTTCTTTCATACATTAGAACATGTATTGGTTGCATATGGAATTTGAGCATGATGGTATAAATCTTTATCTATGCAATGAATTGCAAATGTGGGTTTGACTTGAGAAGTTCTTACATTTGGGGTCTACTTTCATGCTCAGGAAAATTCTATGAATGGGACACATCAGACATGAATATTTTAGGAGCTCCAAATGTACACAAATGTAGGATGACCAGATTTGGTTTGTGGAATATGATATATATTTTGGCCAGTTTTGGTAGATTGTTATTAACTTAGCCTGTTTTTTCAAGTATATTTTCCAACATCCTACTACATTTAGATTTGCGTTCATGTCTTCAGAACCTTCAAATTAAGTATCACTACTAATTAATATTGTCCATCCCTTTAAATAATTGTGGTATCTTTTGGTTGTATGAGCAAACAAACCTGCACCCTGAAATTTTTTTTATGCATTGCTCATAATTTTTCTGAATTGAAGTTCTTAAGTTGTTGAACTATACGAAGGACTTCATGTTATGCTTCAGAAAATAAATATTTGTTTGAGAGAAGGTTAAGATACAAGGACTTCTCAGGAGGTCACCCATCCTAGTGCTACTCTTGCCTATGCACGCTTAACTTATCATAGTGCTACTCTTGCCTAAGCACGCTTAACTTCGGATTTCTGATGGGATCTGGTGGCTTCAGAAAATGAATATTGAAAATCAATTTAGAAATGTCTGTATAATTTGTGTATGACCATGGAATCCCATAATGACAGGAACGAATCCTGGTGTCTTGCAAGTGCATAACCAATCTTCTGTAGAACTTTGAACAGTACTTTTGCTCTAGAAAATTCTCCAGAAAATTCAATCGAGTCCTATGTGTTAATCACCCATGCGTGAGTCAAAATCAGAAAGCTTTTGGTTTGGGCTTAACGCAAAAACATCAGTAACGCTGTCTACCCTAACCATATATTTCCTTTAAACCTTAAAGTTACTTGCAGAGGTAACATCTGGACATCATCTTCCGCAATTTTCTCACAATCCTGATGATGGAATCTCTGATCCATCATGCTGATGATTGAAAATCATACATATGAAAACCAGTATATGTACATAAGCTAGTTTTAAAGAGCATGTATAACCATTTCACACTGTTACAGGGATTGGTCCTTCAGTACATTGCATTTACTTGCCTTAGCATAAACATTGAATGGGTTCTTGGATTTCAGGTATAGTTACAAATTCATTGTTGGTGGCCAATGGAGACACTCTACATCCCTACCAACTGAAACGGATCAAACGGGAAATGTTAACAATGTCATTAGAGTTGGAGAGGTTGCCAGTGTTAGACCCGCTTCCCCTAACCAACAGCATGCAAAGGTAAGAGATGATCTGTGACAGCATTAACCCTGTAATCTTCATACACATATGCTGCTTGTACTTTTTATGTTGCCTCTTTCTAAAAAGATCTACTGCAGTTACTCTATGGGAGAGATGATTGTGTTTTTCAGTTCATGTTTAGAAGTGTCACAGTGATGAACTATAACAAACTTAACCAAAATATGTGTGAGAGAGAGAGAATAAGTGAGAGAAAGATAGAGAGAGAGAGCATAATCCTTATGATGATACGTGTTTTATCACAGGATCCCATGATCGTAAAAGTGATTGAGAGACCACTAACTGAAGAGGAACGATTCATGTTGGCATGCGCAGCTCGGCTTATTGCCTTCTCAATTTGCCCAATCAGATTGGTGCCCAAGTAAAACAAGTTCTAACAAAAAGTAAAATTCATGAATGCCTCGCACCCTGACAGCAAAGGCTACTCTTGGTATAAGATTGGCTGCTGCATTGAGGGTTTTTTTTTTTTCCTCCACGAAAATATCAGTAATGGGGGTTGAAACCCATGAATGGGCTGATGCCCTGAGATTTGTAAGTATGAGTTTTTCAATACTTGAATTTGAAGCCTAATGTATATTTTTCTCTTGGAAAATATTGTGGGGTTAAAACCCCTTGCAAAATATTAAAGGAATCATCTACAAAGAGAACTTCTATCTTTATAAATGGAGGTCACAATCGTTCTTACTTATTAGATGTCAAATTGGATGGCTTGGGGTGAGTCATGAAGTCCGAGAAATTTTTTTTTTTGGAACTTTTTGTTTATTCAATGATATTTTTACGACCATCAATTTTGAAATTTAAGGAACAACAAGGATTGTGAGTATCATATACAAAAGATAAATCGTCTATTGTAGACAATCCTAATATTAAAAAGATACTTGAAGGGTTGTTTTTTAAAATTTTATTTACATATACTACCTCCTTAAAAAAAAAAGAAAATCCCATATTAGATTTGAAAAAAAGCTTGAACAATCAGGGGCATTTCCATAATTTAACCCGTGAAGCACCAAATGATGAAGATATCCTTGCTTGTTCATAACTATATATGAGAAACACACTATTCAAAGTTAGCAATGATGAACGATTAGAGGTATGTTATTTTGCACTCAAATGCTTTCTATCTATCAACTGATATGAATACCCTTAACTTGTTCCTTAATAGAAATTCGGAATAGTGGGTACTTTGTTCCTTAATAGAAATTCGGAATAGTGGGTACTTTATATATAACCCTGAATAAGCATGAATATGTCATTATTCAGAATTAGAGTCTTTTGGGGGTTGAATTACTGAAATGATCTTAATTGTTTAGGTTTGAACAAGGAAAAGTTGAAAAATGTTTGAGATATTTTTTAAAGTATTTGAGTGAAATGAAAATTAAAAACCAATCCTTCAATTATTAATTAGGCAACAAGAAAAGTATATAAAGAGACTATTTACTTTTAATACAAGAAGGTTATGCTCACCCTTGTATGTCAGATTTCAAATTTGGAGGTTGAGTGTGTCATTAACTGAACTCTATTTTCAAAAAGATATTTCTCAAACTTTCTGTTACACCCCAAATCATACAATTTAACATCTATTGGCTATTAGCAATTGTGACCTTGTATCATCTATACAATCATTAGGTAATATTTCGATCCCTTTAATGTTTTTGCAAGGTTCCAACCCCTTACTTGATATCTAAGTTCCCAGATGCCCTGAAAATTGGGGTTTTCTCTATTCCCTGAAGCTCCATCGCCAGAACAATCCTTGAGGGTCGCCAATTCATTTGGAATTATGAGCAATTTGTTGACATATATCTGTCGCTCTGAAGTAATCTTGAAATTTGAAATCAAAATGATTCCAAGAGAAATACCCCCCAATTTAGCAAACATTATGCCATTAAAATGTTGAATTAAAAATTAGTGTGTATACTTCGTTGGAGCAAAATTTACATTTACTACCTTTGGCAAATCCGCTTAAGAGGGTTTTTATGAAGAAAAGAGCTCGGGCTTGATTGGTTAGAGGGCTCAATTTCTATTAAGGGTAGGGGCCCTCTACCCTATTGACTCACCTAATTTTAAAGTTTTGGGATCTGGCTTAGAATCATCCGGCCCAAACACCTAGATAATACCGACCAAAAATTGAATGGCGTGTGAGCAATCCTAAGGCATTTTGTCTTTCTAGTTCCGTTGTGTATTTTTTGTTTTATTTTTTTATTTTTAAGTCGATTACATGGCTACTCCCCAAAATTTTGGTTTTATTTTTTTATTTTTAAGTCGATTACATGGTTTACTCCCCAAAATTTTTGTCCTAAAAATACTCTCGACTTTTGTTTTGCTCGACGGATAAAACGTACATTGTGCTCCTGCTGCACGTAATCTTGTATATTACTCCCTTGATTTCAACATTTTCTAAAAGGTGCGGTTCGTATAGGGATACGCCCTAAACAATGAATGTAAATAGTGTCGAAAGATAATTTTTCAAAAGTAAAAACCCTTGGCTTGAAAATTTACTTTCTCTAATTATAAAATTTGAACTTTCAAAAATAGTGTAGATCGAATAAATCTATAAATATTTGAAAATATTAAAATTTCGGTGTAGCATCAATAGGCGATAAGATGAGAGATAACAAACCTAGGTGGATTGGTGATGTATGGTGTAGACCCATAACAACACTTGTTAGGAGGTGTAGGTTAGTTTAAGTAGAAGGTTAGAAAAAAACTAAGGGTAGACTCCAAAAAAACATAGTTAGAAATAGTAAGAAAAGATATGAAGACTTATGGTCTCACTAATGGTAAGACCTTTAATACAAAAATGGAGAACCAAGATTCATGTAGCCAACCCCTATTAATTAAAAAAAAACCTTTGACAATGATTCTTTTTTTCACTTCTATATATCTCAAAGTCGAGATGTCGAAATTTACAAGTAAGATTGCTTTAATCTACACGACTACCTATTTTATTTAAGAGAAAGCTTTCTATGTTCTCCCTACAAGACAAAAGTTCTATCTCCCCTACCATTCAGCCGTCCATTTTTTATCAAGAGAGGCACTCACCGTTTGATTTTAGATCCGACGTCTTAAAGCATTTTATTTTTAGTTTTTTTAATACAATTTTTTAAAATATGAAATTTGGCACGTGCAATCTTTGGGACGCACCTATAAAAATATTAACAATATTTTTTTGATAAAAAATAATATCCAAAATACCCCTTGAAATTTTCAGGGGTATTTTGATCTTTTTATTTTATTGAAAATATTTTTTTTATATTTTTTGTTAGTACGAATTTAATAAAGGAATGGACGTCCAAAATTTGGAGTCAAAATAGTTTATAGAAACAAAAAATAGCGTAGAGACATGACATTGTGATTGGGACAATCTTAACCCTCCATTAAAAAATGAAAGGAAGGGTTGGATAAAAGGGCAGATAGAACTTCCTTGTAAGAGGAACGTAGAAAGCTTTCCCTTTATTTAAATGGCGTAAATTTGACAAGGGCTCAAAAGACCCTCCTTCTAACGCTGCCTTAAAAAATGTGTCATTACAAGTAAAGATTAAATTCTTATACAAACTAAAGTATGGAAACCACAAGTTACATTAATAGAAGTTAAAGAAATACCGCGAATTGAAAAGAAACAAGGAAATTTTGTGTTGGAATAATTTGCCACCAATTTTAGGAGTGATTGATCAAAGACTGTTTAATTACACCAGCTTTGAGTGACTCATAAGTACACCAGCTTGATTTAATTCTTTTGTCTCTCTCTCTCTCTGTAAAATCTAACATAACAACATCTGAAGTTCATGGTTTTCAAAAAAAGAAAAAAAAGAAATTCTGAAGTTCATGGCGGAAAGTAAACGCAAACACTAATACCTGACTCTAACCTGTGTGTGTGAGAGAGAAAGAGAGAGTTGAGGGTACTTAATTTTGAACGTAAATGTCAAAAGACTGGGAATACTCACAAAGAACCCCTCATTTATTTGCATTTATGCGGTGTATTACATGTATTTTGCTTACTATACAAGTACTGTAATAAAGGCAGCATTCCTTCATATATGACAAAGCAATAACTGATGATACATATATCCACATGGTCTTCACCCAAATTGGACACTTAAATTTTATAATTTGTTTTCAGCGAAGATCGATAATCTCAAACCTGAGATTGGGGTTCATGTAAACATGAGAGCAATGCTCATAAATTGGGCTTCCATCGCTAGGCCCTTCATGAACATGAAACCCTCTTTGCTGGCACTCCTTTAGGACACCTACCCCCTCAGGATCTGCTAGCCTAAATATCCCATAAGACCTGCAACAATTTCGCACCTTTGGAGCATATATGCATACATATAAAACTAAACAAACCTACCCATAAAAAAGAGTCATGTTTGTGTTAAAATAATAATAATACTAATCAAAACATATAATTGAAGTATAGTTGATTCAGTTGTTTTGAAGATAGGGGTTTTCAACCTTTCTTTCATTTTCCCTATGTTTCAATTTAACAGCCAATAAAAGGACAGCATACCATTCAGTAGTTGTGAACCTTTTACCTTTCAGTATCAGTGGGAGCCATGACAATTGCAATTGCCTCAGGTAGCATTATCTACACAAAAGAAAATTAACAAAATTTGATAAACTTAGTTTGAAACCTGAGCCAAGTTGTGTCGTAATCAGTTCAATATGCATTTTTTTCCTTACAAATGAAGCAGTA